CTGATTTGCTTCTACTGTAATCACCGACTTATACAGGGTGTTAACAAATAAGTGTCACAACGGGAAACTGTAGTTTGCTCATGAAAAAAGAAACAACTTTTTCCCTATCGAAATTTTTCTCCGGGCTTCCGTTATCAAGATACAGGACGTCAAAAAAATACAAAAACATCTGTTTTTTGCTACTATCTCAGGAACCGTCGGAGCTATGGAGTTAAGCCTTCGTACACACTTCATCATCAATAATGGCTACTTTTAGGGCTCTTGATCAATTTCCTTGGACATGTCAGTGGAGGAGAATTCAACGCCTCGTAAGGGTTTAACCCCCCAAACATTTATGCCACTGGAGAAATTGTTATTTTCAAAGTAGATTCTGAAGCGCCAATATCTTTCACACAGAAAACGTCCTCTTGTCTCAATGCTCTAAAGTGAACAGTTCCCGCGAAAAATGGCTCTTTATGAATAAGAACATACAAAATCCTGATGATATCTCCAAAAATTGTCTAAAAATCCACTGGAAATAAACACCTCAGATCTGTCTATTAATATGTTCAATCAAATGTCAGGTTCTTGAGTATGCTGGTCTCGATGCTGGTTTTCAAATTGTTAAGTTTATTTAGTATTGTAAAGTGTGTTTAATTGAACTGAACGTTTTTAATTTTTTTACGCCCTGTATCTTGAAAACGAAAGCCCGGAGAAAAATTTTGAAGAGGAACGAAATGTTTCTTTCATTATGAGGAATCTACAGTTTTCCGTTGTAACACTTATTTGTTAACACCCTGTATAGGGCCTATTCATATGCATCAATATCAGCTTATCATGTTTGGACCTTTATGCATGACAGTCTTAGGCTCAAGAATTATGATATGATAATTGACAATCCGTTGAAAGTGTCAACTGACATGTCAATAATGTTAACTGCCAATTCTGATATTTTGTTTTGGGGCAGGTTTTTGAGCTAATTTTGAGCATTACTTGAGTTCATTGCTCTTCTTCCTAAAAATCTCTTACAAATTCGAAAATGTAGGTAGATAGAGATTCATTTTCAAACAAGAATAGTACCAAAAAAACGTTCGTATGAAAACCCAACGCATTATAAGTGCAGTTCTACTGGAGAAATCTCTCCACCAAATCTTTAGGGTTTCTCCTTCCAGGCTCATGATTTTTTTAAATTTGTTATCGAATTCAATCAAATTATCAGAATGATGTAATCAATTATTGACACAGCACAGAATGGAACTGATGTTTTCGTGACAAACACAAGTCATATGTCATTGTCAAATATGTTGACAGGTTGACATATTCGCATTTCTTATGTGGTCTCAATCATAAGCATAAGAGTTGAAAGTTTGTAACTTTCAAGGTCATGATTCAATGATTATGATTAAGACTGAGACTATAAGTATTGCATGAATTCACCTATTGAAATGTATGCTCATAACTTGATTTAAATAAATACGGGTATATTGTTATTCCAAACATAGAGAGTCAATTGTATGTACATGGTGTTTCAGTGTGCTGGCTAAAATTGAATTGTTCATTTTACTTGATTATTTGGGATTTCTTCTCCTCGCTCCTATAAAATAAAAATATGAATATCATTCGAATATATGTGTAATTGGACTGCGTTCAACAAATTTTCCAATCAGAAAGCCCAGAAGAAAGATCCAATAGATTGTCAGTGACACTTCGTTTGGAAAAAAGTTTGTAGAGAAGAAATATTGAATAAATATCAAATTTTTAATCAGCTTCAAACGTTTCGGGAACGAATCTGCTTCTGCTCTCAACATAAAACGCAATGACATTCTGGGGCAAATCATCTGATTTGTCCTATTACACATAAATTGAAATAATACTCATATTTTTATTTTGGAGAAACGAGGAGGGAACAATCAATTGAAATGAATGTTACACCTCCTCGATCAAACTACGAGCAGTATTTGAATTATTCATTGGTAGGTATAGTATTGACATGGTGTCGCGCATCTGTCAAGTTCTCCAGAACTTTCGATACCGTGAAATATTTTGTGAATTGTCTTTCTAGTTTGCATCATGTGACAAATAACATGAATTATTACATCACATGCTATATACGGTGAATGTCCTCAACAATTCACCGAGTGTCACAGTCCGCGAAAATATCTAGTTCCTGATATACAATTTAATATTTTTCATTTTGCATGAACGTGATAATAGGCAGTTTATTTCGTGAAACCCATAAATCAGCCTCATTTTAGTGATATTCTCTCAAACTCACAATTTTGCACTTATATATATTTCGACACGCAACACAACATATGTGTCGCTGTCAGTTGGAAGAATAAATCAAACTTACTTATTTTAAATTATATGTCTGGATGAAGAAGGATAAAAGCAAAAATTCAATAGGTTTCATACAACTTTGCGTCATTTATAAAGAATAGAGTCTAAACCCACAACGAATGACTTTCTTCACGCCGGAAGTAAACGATTCGCTAGCAAATGACGTCGAAATATATACGGAAAACGCTTTGCACGACTTTATCATTGCCAATAATATTCGTGTAGGCACCATATGAGCTATTTTGTATAGGGGAATTTATGTCGTTTGTCAAATGGTTAATGACTTGTGAATTTGGATTTTGTTTGCTGAACTGGGTGTGTGGACTGCCAACTACTTGTCAGTTTTTCAGTGAAAAATTGATTGGGGCATTTAATCGTTTTTGCATGTTCAATTGGTATTATTTATCGAAATCTTGAGAAACTTGGAGGAACAAATGATGATTTGTGTTCGAAAATAACACTTAACATCAGAGATCAAATACACTATTCCGAAAAGCAAGCAAGAAATCAATCTCAAGAATTATTTTACTTTTTTTATGTTGCATGGAAATGGGTGAAAAATTTGAGTCGTTTATACGAAATAATAAATGAAATGAACCTACTTTTTTTTGGAAAAATTCAAAATAGACTGCTGCTGATTTCATTCGATCAGGTATTGTTGGAAATTCTTGATTTTATTTCACGCACGTTCAGTGAATGGAGTTTTGTTATCGAATCATCGTGAGTGACGCATGTTCTGCGGCAGAGATTCTACTTAGTTGATATTTTCTTCGTGAATAATGAGATATAAGGTGATTCATTTGGTCAATATTTTGGTATACGTGTGAAACTGTTATAATGATATTTTCTACCAATTTTTGCTAGAACATGTGGAAAACAATACATACGTTCCGGTTCCCGAAAAGTCTAAGAATAAGTGAAATATCATATTTTATCAGTACACCTATATTCTCCTTTTCCAAACTTTTCTCAAAAAAGGCATATCACTAACATCGATTGAATTTTCTACTAAGGTTTCTGATAGTTGAATTTCAAGCGCAGTGACATTGTGAGGCAACTTATCTGATCTGTCCTCACAGGTATAGTTTATACAAAGTCAGTTGGAAAAAGACATCACCGCGAGCCGTCGGTCCCTTTGAAAGTTCAAAGAGTGCGGCAGCGCGGCCCGACATTCGTTTGATGATCTGTTCAACTGACTTTGCATAAACTATACAATGAACTTATTCAAATATCTTTATTTATATGGAGGAGAGTAGAGAAACATCCAAATAATATGGAGAAATGATTACCTCACATCCCCGAAAATTCTACAGACAATATTCTAATTGTGGGAATCTGCATCATCCTCCAGAATCCAAAACGAATATATAGACAATAGTTTTGGAATCACATTTCAGACAGGTATAGTTTCGATACTGAAATGGATTATTTGATTCTCAATTTGACACGGTATGATCAATTATTGGTCTCCGTGAGATGTTGAAACCGTTATAGTTACGGTTCTTAGAGTATTGTTATTAATTCTTGTCATGAGTATTTTTGCAAATGAAATGACTCGGACATAGGAAAACAATTCTTTTCAAAACTATTCAAGTAATGAAAAAATGAATACACTGGGCATTAATATAGAACTATGTTACTATAATGTTTATGTGAGTACACATAATATGTTGGAATGTGTTTGAATTGTAAAATACATCCATACACTATTTCCCAATGTGATTTTATCACTGATGGTAATATATTTCATGAATGACGGTTTCGTGGTTACGGTTCCTTCATTATACAATATTCACCAAGGCATTAATAGTCACAGCTGACCGTGTGATTAGCAATTGAAATATGGTTTGAAAATGACAACCAGTTCCTATGCAAATTAATGATATTGTAATTATTATTTGTGACGCTACCTATATATCAATACAGTGAATGACCTAGGTAATTATGACATAGTTGCAAATGCGATATAATAAAACCCATTAGGTATGAGACGAGTATGAAGTTAAAATGTATGGACATTTCTCATGTTTTATTTATGACTGAGTATTTTATTTGAGGTATGAAATTTCTTTCTTGTAGTTGATTTTCATTTCTTGATTTTTTTTATAACAACAACAGAAGATTCAAGATGCTGGTGCTATATGCTTTTTAATATTCGATGATATGGATCATAATAGATGCAATTTTGTTTTCAGCAAGAGACAACCTAAGTGAAGTGTATCTGAATTGACCAATCAAGTATTCAGTTGTTCTGTTACGTTGAAATGAATATAACTCTTACTTTAGATCACAATTTGAGTTGACACCTCTTGAACAGAGTCATCTATTTTTTATTGTGATTGTGTCTAAAATCACATACTTGCTATAGTAATCTAATGTAACTTTCTCAATATTGCCATATTCAGATTTATACATTGTTATTATAAGATATAAATAAATAGAAGTGGTGTTCTCGTAGGCTGAAATATCTGATGGTGTGTTTTGTTTAGTAGATTTTTGTTTCAATTCAGATAGCAAAATGATTTTGATGATAAACATAATTGATTAGGGGATGATTAAAATCGATACCTATATCTATATAGTGTTTCTCAATGACAAATTGTTGATGCATCTGTGAATTTTTGCCGTATTGGCGATGCACCATCAACTCAGATTTCTGATATATTTTTTTTTTTTTTCAGGTCAAAGTTTGGTTCCAGAATCGACGAACAAAACACAAGCGGATGCAGCAAGAAGAAGAAGCCAAGACAAATTCTGGTAATAAGTCCGGATCGCCCAGTAGTGCACAAAATCACCATATGAGCAAATGGAAAGAAGAAACAGCGGACGATTATGGAGAGTATATTGATATGGACATGGAAGATGAATGTGTTAGTGATGTAGAAAGTGAATCATAGACTCGGTCAGAAAAATCTCCTGTAAATACTCTGAATTCCAGTCGACAGTATAAGTAGTGAAATATGGCAAATGAAATGGATACCCACCTATACTTATCAACTATCGAAACCCTGGTAGGTAGAGGAAATGCAAAAAATAATGGAAGTTTTTCAAATGACTCTCCGTAAGAGACATTCAATAACTCACTAGATATTGGACTAAATCCAATGCAGTTATTCACTTGATATCAATGAGGAATAATTTAGCAAATACTGAAGGTTTGATACGTGGCTAATGGACGGAAGCTCTTTATATATTTACTGAACACAAATCTCAAGACAATTTTTTTCTCTGCGAATTGATTGGGAAAGAACATGGAGTATGTTTGAGTACTGAAGCTATATTCAGGATATTATTCGAACATTGCATGTCTCGTCATTCCATCAGGCAGGCCGTGAATAATTCATTTAATATTTTCGGACTTTTCAATAGTAGAAGTATCATTGCAGTCAATAGGTACATTATTTTTGAATTTCCAAACATTCAAGTGGATACGGCACCGTCATTTCTATAGCCGCGCTATGGTAAAATGTTGTTTCAGCTTTGTGTGAACATGGTGGTTTACCAACAACGACAGCAAAATGGTGAATTATTTGGAATTTTTCCGAGATGAAGTCTGAGCAAATCAAAAGAATTCAAAATTGGCATACAATGGTTATTCATTTAATTCACGGATAAATAATAATCTGAATATAGCAAACTGTTCCTATAATTCCATGCAGTTTCGAATGTTCATTGGAATTTTACATATGTACTATACAGGCTGATTTTGAAATGAGTGCATATATTCAAGACTAACAAAAATTACTAAAATATTTGATTTTTCCTAAGTCTTCACATTAACGAGAAATTTCATTTTGAAAATTGAACATAAAATGCTTCGAAATTCGAGTACGCCACTGGGAAGCAAGTGAAATCTGCGGAATCCCAGGGATTCTCCAATTCGTCATTCACTAAAGTCAAAACAAGACAGTGATGCCAGATTGTTTCAGAGACGAATATCCTGATAAAAATTTGTCACAGTATGAATATGAATTGAAATAGGTTATGGAAACTATTAGAGGTGAATGTAATATGTACAGGAGCCTTATTTTTTAAAGTTCACTGAGAGAACTGTGGGGTGATTATCTCCATGGATCACGAGACGGATAGAAACAGAGGGGAATGATAGAACGTCCCCCTTCCTTCCACAAAGTTGAAAATCGACTCACCTAGTAGATTTTCTCATACCTGCTCGAACAGCAAAACTCCCGAGAGCAAACAAAAACTAATATCGAGTCCATTCCAGACTAATATCGTCCTGTGTTCTTGTTGGTTCATATTCGCACTTAAACCATCGAAAACGACTCGACGACGACATATCCTTCCTGGCAATCTCACATTGAAAATCACGACCATATCACGATTATCACGACACAAGACACAACATCCAATTATTTTATTTTTTATTTTACGTTTACAATTATTTTACAAACACACAAACAAAACTATTATCATATGATCTGTCAACATCATTTCTCAGAACAGTAGTATCTGTGACCATAGATTTCCTCTTTGCTGTGACCTTTGACAGTTCTAACTAGGATTGTTCGTGTTCAGAAAATAAACAATCCAAAACCGTCAGAAGCATGCACAAGTCCACAGAACCCAAAAAAAATTATACAGTTCTGTGAAACTGCGCATGTTTCTGACAGTTTCGGACGCAAGAATTCAGATGACCATGAATTACTAATAGGCGATTTCTACGGACCAATCAGAAACAGCAAAGTAGCGCCTGCGTGGTTGCGATTCATCCTGATTGAACACAGCTGATTGGATTTGTGAGATTAGTGTATAGTGAGGAAGTATCATTTCATTGAATTAAACTAATAGATGTTTTTTCCAAATTAGTTTTTTATGAAAATGTTAGTTTCATTTAAAGATATGATCCTTCCTCACTAATACATTAATCTCAATCACCTGTGCCCAATCAGGATGAATCGCAACCACGCAGGCACTACTTTGCTGTTTCTGATTGGTCCGTAAAAGTCGCCTATTAGTAATTCATAGTCATCTGAATTCTTGCTGGTAGCACACCATAAGAACAATCAAAACAAAGATCCTTTCTTGACAGTTTGTTGTTCTGAGAATGTATGTTATTTTGGAAAACGTCAAAACGTGATACTAGTAAATGTAAACAGTGTGGTCCTTGTCATTACTTTTGTAATAGATCTATTACTATTCCACGGAGATTGTTACAATATTACGATTTGTCATGAATCTATTACTATTGGGTGTTAGCACCAAAATATGATGTTTTGTTACTAAAAAATCTATTTCTGTGTTCAGCGGATAATTATGTTCTGCTCTATGGGTCTATGTTCTATATTTATGTCATAAGTTCTGTATGACCTGCCAAAACTGTCTAATTTGTGCGATATGGTTTTACAAGAATGACATTCAGAATGTCAAATGTCAGATTTTTAGGATCTATTACCTTTTGATACAAATCTGTTACCATTTTCCAAGGAAATCTATTACGAAAAAATCAGACCCAGGAACAACACTGAATGTAAAGTTTTGTTTCTGACAATTTGCTTGGAATGTGACGATGCATTTCTCAAACATTGAGCTGAATGATATGGTTCTTATGTCGGGTCGTTATTGTGCGGGGCCCATGAGACTCCTCGAAGACCACAAAATTGTAGCGATGCAAGGAGGTGGAAGGAAGGGTCTAAAGGATTTTTCAGTAAAATAACTTCCAACCGTGAGGTGTTAAGTTATACGCTATTCGAGCTTATGTGTAGAAATCTTGGGTGAGTCCATTTTGAAGTTTTTGTATTATGTTTCTGAAATTCAAGACCAGGGTTAACTTCTTCTCCATGTACATTTTCTCGATTGTACATTTTATTTAATATCTCCTAATTTTCATGTAGAGTGGCAACGTCGCTTCGTTCATCACGGTCGACTGCGGATCGCAAACGATAGTTGTGACAGAAGTAGAAATCTGGGCGGAAAAAGGGTATTTTGCCCCAAATCTATTTTGATCCTAATAATATTTTTAATAGTGCTATTCGGTAGTATACCTCAAGCTTTCTTAGTGTTTAAAATGTATGCACTTATTTTAAAATCAGCCTGTATAAAGAGGCAATTGCTATTGAATATTTTCAATATTCCCGATACCTATTTTCGTGACACGTACGGAAATCTCCTGAAACTTTTTCACTTCAAAAGTCATTTCATTATTGATGAATACCTACTGTAGATTCGCAATACATACTTGCGAACCTCGGGTCAGAACAGTGAATTCTGGTTGATTATAAGAGGAGTAGCTAAGTCTTAACTTAGGTACCTACTAGTAGTTCATACAATGACGAGAATTACCTTGGTAGTAAAAACACACTTCAAGCCTTGAAAATGAATATATAATGGTAGGTTGTATGGCTAATGGTGGAAAAAAGTACTATTTTGATATAGCTACTTTTAGTGAGAAAATTATTATGTTACACTTCAAAATGACACTGAGTTTAGTCAATCGATAGTTAGTTACACCTTGCTTCGAGAATATTTCAACATGAAAATGGAAAATGATTTGTTTCACCACTAGCTCTAGAAACTACCATTATTCACCCCGTTCCAAGGCTTAAAGTGTGATTTTACTACCGAGGTAGTGCTCGTCATTCCATGAACTACTAGACAATAAAGACATAGCAACCTCTGATATAATTAACCCGAATTATCTGCTCTAATGCAAGATTCGCAGGAATGGCATTGGAATCTAGAAGGTATTCATCAAGAACGACTTGTCATATGCTGTCATGTTCATGGCTACTAGATTTCAACCAAAATTGGAAAGAAACTCATTCAAAGTGACAATAGGTCTCTACTAAAGTTTCACAGAAATAAAGTGATTGACATATACTAGTGGTGGAATTGGTAGAGTCCGACCACGATAACTTTGGGACAGTACGTGGTCGCGTATGCATTGAATATGCATATGCGTTGCGTCACATGCTGTCCCAAAGTTAACGTGGTCGGAATCTAGTCAAGAGTAGCATAACCACGAGACCCTATAACCCTCGGCTGAAGTCTCGGAATATAATCTTGTTCCCTGGGTAATACTGATATTCGTTACTACCTTGGTGTGTAAATAACTATTTTGTCATAATTGGTCCTTCCAATTTCGTCAATTGATACAGTTACAAGAGTTGACAGAAAAATATGAGTCGAAGAGTATTTCTACAATTGATTTTGAATTCATCATAACCAACTTCAGATTTTGGGAGTGAATATTATGTTCTATCTGTATCAACCGAACAGTAAGCCATAGCATTAAATTATGTTTTGGAGAATGCAAGATGATGAGGATATTCTTCCCCCTCGATTAACCTACAAATAGTATCTATGTAATTAGAGCAACCATCAATTACCTACTCGAATGTTACATATAGCAAGTCAGGATGCTTATTAGTCCAACATCTTTTGTGTAATACCCATGTATGATTTCTGCCATATTTCATTGCTTTTGCTGATCTGACATAAGTACAAATGATAAAGGCTTTGTAACCAAACCTATTTGGTAAAACTCGACGCAGTTGCAATAAACTTCTTTGGACATTTGAAGTGCCAATGTTCTTGTGCCAAATTTTTGTTTTGTTGGATTTTTTGTATAAAGTATCGTCATTCGAAATGATCAGTGTATATAATTATTTATTGCAGATCTACAAAACTCAATATTTATTATTTTCCTCTATGAATGTACATACTTATTCAGCTATTTTGGATGAATCTGTTCGAATCCAAAGTAGATATGTTAAAATGATAGGAATTTCAAATCGTGAAGTATGATTCATGATGGTAGATTTCCAATGTACCCTTTGTGATGTGTGTTCGACTATTTTAATATATCTACCTAGTGGTCCCTGAAGTAATACACGTGTGTGAGAAAAAGGCAGAGTGTCTGTGTATCTATATATCTGGCTGTTGATATTATTTTCTATCTGTACATTCGTATTACTGGTGAAGTTTTTAGTGCAGGTACTAATCTAGAAGAAAGTACTGAAAACTTTTAAAGAGAATCTGAAAGTCTAGAAAATCTTAACTGTGTTACTACTTCAAACCTTGTATTATATAAAATGAAGTATTCCTAAAT